TCAATTGAAAGTCAGGGATGAAGATATTGCTAAAATTGCTTTCAGGACCAGGTATGTACATCACGAGTTTTTGGTTATGCCTTTCAGTTTAACTAATGCTCATGCGGCTTTCATGGATCTAACGAATCGAGTATGTAGTGAATATCTCGATAAATTCGTTATTGTGTTTATCGATGATATTCTTATATACTCAAAATCTGAAGAAAAGCATGTTGAACACCTTCATCTGATCCTTAAACTCTTGAAGAAAGAAAAGTTGTACACAAAACTGTCCAAGTGTGAATTCTGGTCGAGTGAAGTTCAATTTCTGGGACATGTCTTATTTGAGGCGGGAGTAAAAGTGGATCATACTAAGATTGAAGCTGTAGAAAAATGGGATGTACTGAAAACTCCTTTTGAAGTCCGTAGTTTTCTGGGGTTAGCAGGCTACTACCGGAAGTTTATTCAGGATTTCACCATAATCGTAGTACCATTGACTAAATTGACTCGGAAAGATATTAAGTTTCAGTGGGAAGAGGATCAACAAAGAGCTTTTCAGTTGTTGAAATATCGTCTTTGCAGTACTCCGGTGTTGACACTACCCGAGGGATAAGACTTCGTGATTTATAGTGATGCTTCAAAGTTAAGTTTGTGTTGCGTCTTGATGCAGAGAGAAAATGTGATTTCATACGCGTCCAGACAGTTGGAGGATCATGAAAAACAGTATCCCACGCACGACATGGAGCTTGCAGCCATAGTTTTTGATCTGAAAATTTGGAGGCATTATCTGCTGGAAACAAAATGTCAGATCTTTATAGATTACAAGAGTCTCCAACATTTATTTAGTCAAAAAGAGTTAAACATGCGGCAACGTCGATGGATTGAGCTGGTAAATAATTATGATTGTGAGATTCTCTACCATCCAAGGAAAGCCAACGTGGTAGCGAACACTTTGAGAAGAAAAGAGAAAAGTGGTACGATCAATACTGTAGCAATGAGAATGAACCCATTACCAAATCTCCATAGTGAAATTTTAAAGTGTCAAGAAGAAGCAGTTAAAGAGGATAATTCCAAGTTTGAACGAATGGGTAAAATGATTTCCACCGTGGAAAAGAACGATAAGGAAATTTTGTGTTTTCAGGGACGGATCTGGATACCGTGCTATGGAAATATCCGAGAGATTTTGGAAGAAAGCCACAAATCCCGATATTCTATTCATCTTGGTACCAATAAAATGTATAAAGATTTAAAACCGTTTTATTGGTGGCCTGGATTGAAGAAAGACATAGCAAGGTATGTCGAACGATGTCTAACTTGTCTACAAGTAAAGGATGAAAATCAGAGACCATATGGAAATTTGTAGTCTCTGGAGATTCCTATGTGGAAATGAGATCATATTACAATGGATTTCATCATGAAACTACCTCGAACTCCAAAGGGATATAATGCCACATTGGTAATTATAGATCGTTTATCGAAATCTATACACTTTCTACCGATAAAAGAGAATTATCCGTTAGAAAGATTGGCAAAGATTTACATTGAAGAGATTGTAACCAGGCATGGGGCTCCACTATCTATCATTACAGACCGAGATAGTCGGTTTACGTCTAAATTCTAGGAGAGTTTTCAGAAAGATTTGGGTTCTCATATTTTGCTGAGTACGACGTATCATCCGTAGACTGACGGGCAGAGTGAAAGAAGGATTTGAACTCTCGAAGACATGTTAAGAGCTTGTGTTATCGACTTCAAGGATCGTGGGAAGATCATCTACCATTGATTAAATTTGCCCATAACAACAGTTATCACTCCAGCATCCAAGAGGCACCGTATGAAGTTTTGTATGGCTGTAAGAGTTGAACGTCGTTATGTTGGATTGAGGTGGGTGAAAGGCAATTAACAGGTCCAGAAATTGTTCAAGTTACTTCAGGGAATATTGAAAAATTAGAGAGAGAATTAAAACAACTCAGGACCATCAGAAGAGCTATGCGGACAGACGCCTTAAGCCAATTGAATTCCTTGTGGGGGATTATGTAATGTTAAAAGTCTTTCTGTGAAAGGGGTAGTCAAATTTGGTAAGAGAGGTAAGCTTAGTCCAAGATATATCGGGCCATTCAGAATATGCAAGCGAGTCGGAATGGTTGCATATCAATTGGAGCTACCAGAGGAGCTTAATTCGATCCATAACACTTTCCATGTGTCTAATTTACAGAAGTGTTTAGCGGATCCGAGTCTAGCAGTACCGCTACCAGAAGTGAATTTAGATAGCAAGCTGAACTTTATGGAAACACCAGAAGCTATCATTGATTGGAAAACTAGAGTGCTACAAAACAAAGAGATCATTCTAGTAAAAGTTCAGTGGCACTTCCATAAAGATTCAGAGGTGATCTAGAATTTGAATCTGAAATGAGGACCGAATACCCATGGTTGTTTAATTGAATGAATTTCGGGATGAAATTCTTTTGAGGGGTGGAAAAAGTGATAACCGGGTTCCGGTTATATATCTTGAAGGTAATTATTTGATTGTTTGGTTACATGATTATTTATTATGTGATAAATTGTGTATAATTAATCCATAATGTGGGTATATACATATATATGTGTGTATGTGTATATGTGTAGGAGTATATGCATACATGGGTTTGTTTGTGAGTATATGTGCATATGTTTAAATATGCATGCATATGCATGATTATGTAGAGGTGTTGGTGTGTATGCATAAGGTTGTGAATGATAAAAGAATTTTATAAATATTTCTTTCCTAAACCGCCTCTTATGGGTTATTATTATTACAATTAAATTTTATCTCATTGGTAAGTGAGATATTTTGATTTTAAAACAATTTATCTTCACCTCCTCTTTTCATTAAATATAAAAGGAGTGGATAAGAAATTCATCTTGTCGGTGGTTTTMGGAGAGAGAGAAAAGAAAGAATCCTTTCTGTGTGTTCTTAAGAGATTCATACGTGGTTTTTGGTAAGAAGATGAAGTTGATTATGTGATAGTATTTGAAGTTGTTGCTGTGTAATCCATCTTCAAATACGTGCATAAGGTGAGTTTATATTATCAACTTTATTTATTTGATGTTTAAGTTAATGAACCTCATGGTTCATATGTGGGAAGTTGATAAAAGATTTCTTGAAAGTTGTTTGAGTTTAATGGTGAATTTGGTATGAGAACCTTAAGGTTCTTATATGAGTTTTTGTTTTGAAAGGGTTTGGTTGCCAGCTTTGGCAAAGAAAAAGAAGGATTTGGGTCATGATTATATCATGATGTGTTGTAATAAGAGTGACACATCACGGAGTTGCGTACCTTGGTAATAAGAGTGACACAATCAGAAGATGCGTACATTTATAACAAGGGTGGCATAATCAGGAGTTGCATACATTGGTGATAAAAGTGGCATAATTTATTTTATGGAAGTGATGATCTTTTGATCATGGGTTTGCACCACATTCTTGTGAGGTGATGATCTTAAGTTATCATGTCTATGTGATATGAGGACTTAGGTTATCACATCCTATGGGTGTGATGAAAAGAAGTGTTTGAGGACATAGGCTCTGGTTGGTCTTTGTGTGGAACCAGAGGGCCTCTGGTTGTTTGTAGGACTTTGATCCTTTCAAAATATTCAATTAATCTTGAATTCGAGATTTTGTATGATCTATGCAGAGACTGTTTATTTGGACTTTGAATTATATGTTCGAGCTTTGTGTTTAAAACTATTTCCAAAACTTCATTTTCATATTAAACACTTAGAAATCAAAACATAGTTCAACTAGAGGGCTTTGGTTGTCCAGAGGGCTTCTGGTTGACTTGACTTTAGATGGTATTAATCTAAGTTATTTGGCAAATGAACTAGAGGGGCTCTGGTTGATCTCACATTTAACCAGAGGGCCTCTAGTCATATATTAAGTTCATTTTAAAGTTTGTTTTTAACTATATCATCTCTGGTTATGCAAACCAAAGGCTCTGGTCGTCCAGAGGGTCTTTGGTTGGCTATGGCATTTTATGACTTGTTTCTAATTAGGCCAATGCTTTTAAATTGGCTATCTTAAAAGTATTTAATTTGGTTAAAAGTGGTGTAGAGAGCTCTAATTTGTCTTGGACTTTTGGTTAAGTTGGAAGTTCAGGACCAGAGGTTCTGGTTAGTAGGACTAGAGGCTCTGATCGTTCAGAGAGTTTCTAGTTAGGTTTAGCATTATATTTGGAATTTGATTTTGATCAACTTGCTGTTGTCTTATTTCAAAATATGACTCTGCTCTGGTTGTTAAACCAGAGGGGGCTCTGGTTGTTGAACCAAAGGGGCTCTGGTCCTTATAGGATAGAGGGGTTTTGGATGGTCTATCACAGTATGATGAGAGGAGTTGAGAATCTTGCATCATGTATGGCAAGGAAGATTTATAAATTCTTTTTGGAACGTGTTATTTGAGTTAGGATCTATAACAAGTTGTTATATATTTGTTTGATTACAAATATGATTTTAACCGGTTTTGGTGATCTTCACCCTGTAATTACTAAAAAAAGGTTATCTCACAAGACCTTCTGGTCTAACCCCTCATTATGTGTTTTAAAATATGCATTGCAGGATCAACAGGGTTTCAGGATAGTAAGAGGAAGAAGAAAATTTGATTATTTTTTTTATATGCTTATCTGCTGTTCTTAAAGATCAACTTGTTCATTGATGTATTTTGAAGATACATGTTGTGAGACATGTGATAGTACAAGAACATTATTTTGGAACTTTTGAGTTGTAATTTCTGTAATATAAATTTTTTGTATTAATGAGATCTATGTGGTGTAATCTTTATTTTTTTTATATGAAGTACATGTTATATGCAAATGTAGAATATAAGATGTTGCAAGATTCTAATTTCTTAATAAATTTCATTTTGATGTCTTCTAACCAAACATATGGGACAATATCTCATTTCAATTCTTTTAAATTCAAATTATGTAATAAATTCCATTTCACGTAAAACATTTTGCTAACCAAAACGACCCATTACTTTTAAAAGTGAGACCGTTATCAGAATCATCAAATGAGTGCTTGTGAGAATACATCGTCGTAAACACTCGAGTGGGACGACAGAATCCACACACACTCGCTGCCGGAATCAGACGCAGACACCGTGAAGTTCTGCGTTTGGAAAAGCAATCAAAGAATGGCAACGCATCTACTCTCATCATCATCATCAAGAATCTGTTCTTCAAGTTTCAATCAAATACCCAATTCAATTCACGCATTCATTCATCCTGTTAAACCCTATAATTTCACTTCAAATTCTCAATACCATAAACGATGCTGCACTTTTACTAAACTTGCTTGTTTATGTTCAAAATCGAGATTATTATGCCAAAGTACCACAACAAAGGCAGTGATATCAGAAATTCCCTACCAGAATCAGAAATACTCCAAGATTGGTGCCCTTTCAGTTGGTCCTATTCCATCCGCCAAACTCCTCGAGAGCGTTGAAATTGCTGCCAAAACTGGAGCTGAGGTTTGCAYAATTCAATCTCTCTCAACRCACAGAAGATACTMATAGTAGGGTACATGAAATTGTGTTGCAAACTTGATACATTCTGTCGTTCTACGATAAATTATCAGATCCCCTTTTGTTTTCCTCGGTCTTGATAAAAGTCGCATGGTGGACTATAATTTGGTACTGTCCCAAAGAAATAAGTGCACAATCTCTTTTGAGTTATTTAATTCCTTCTATCAATGCAATGCAAGTTTGAAGTGAATTCCGTTACACATTTGATGAATACATGTCTCTGTCTCTGGTAGTGTAGTTGTCTAAAAAAAGTTCTAATCTTGGTAGCGAATTTGAAGATGGAAATTCCCCCTATTGTCAAATGAGGGAGTATTATATATGTATATACATGTACTCTATTGGGAGGCAATCAAGATTCTCTGTTCATTATTCCCTGTGGTGAACCCTGGGATTCTTGCCTAGTGGGTGCAATTTTAAGGTGGATCAAAGACCTGCAAAGTTGTCCGACGTGTTTTTAGATGAATTCGACCGTTTGGAGGGATTTTTTAAGATTTTTGGTTGACTTTGTGGGATTTTTAAGTTTTTTGGGTTGATTTCGAGGGACATTTTTTGGCTTTTGGTTGATTTTCAACAGACTTTTTCAGTTTTTGGTTGATATTTTCTTATATCTTCTAATATCTCGGAGCACTACTTAAAGTTTAGCGGGTGCACCTTTCATACATCAAAAGAAATCTACTTGCCAAAATAAGTTAAGCTGGTGCACGGGACCCGATTGAGGCTTCATAATCCTGCCCCTGATTAATCCCATGTCATGCGAGATAAGGAAATTTTGTGTGCATCAGACAGAAGATCATTGTGTAACCTGTTGGCATTTATTTGTTTCTGTAAGTGTTGTTTATCAAAAATTATTTCTTATGGCTTTGTTTTTATTCTCAGGTTGTGATGGAAGCTGTAAATAAGCCTAGAAATATCAGCTATAAAGGACTCACTGATTTGGTTACCGAGTATGGCCATTAATTCTCTTGCTGCGGATATATTAAATAGCTTTTTTGAGTTTCTTTTAGGACCATGGTCCTACAACTAACGTTGGATGTTAAATGGGGCTTTACTGCCTTTGTGCTTGAATGGATCTTGAGAAATGACTTCATCCCTATTAACTTACTGGTTGAAGATGATACAGATGTTGACAATCTTCGGACTTCCTACTAACTTTATGAAAGACCTTATGCTTGGACTCAGGGTGCAATTGATTTTGAATATTTGTGGGTGCCATTGGAGTTTCTACATATATATTTTGATAGACTGTTGACCAGCATTATTGACCAGCCTTTACTAGTGAACACCTTGATTTTTTTTTGTAAATAGAACTGAATGTGTATTTGTTTTGATACAATAATAACAAAACATTCTCCGTCTCCTTGTGGGGTGGTATATAGTGGGCTCGTTTGGTGTAGTTTGAAAATGAAGATTAACGTTAATATGGCTTCTATTGAAAGGAAACAAACGAGTCACTATGACAAAAACACTCATTTGTGAAGCATTGTTACCGCAATAGGCTCAATATGAGTCTTAAGTATCTTCTTTGGCAGAGACACTTATCCRGAATTGTCCATTTTGCTACCGGATGTGTAATGATTTGACTAGCAGTAGTTCTATTTTTGATGTTTCGGAGGAGGTATCCTCTTTCAAACATGAACTACTTCCACTCTTATCTTTACATATATACACGCCAAAAAAAGGAAAACCGCTTTTGCACATACACTTGGGAGTTTATGTATGTAAAGCTACACTTTTTGGCTAATTACACAGAGAGAGAGAGAGAGGTAAATGCTGTATGTTTTCTTTCATACATATATATATATATATTTGCGGGAGGTGCCGTCCTCTTTCCAAAATGCTGTATGTACAGAAATGAGGCACTGATGTGCCATCAATTTGTGTGTGGGTGTATGGTGCCACTAGAGCTGTAGTGTTTTGGTGCATCTGTGTGAGATATATCAAGGAGAGGACCCTGCTCCTGATTTTCTGGCATCCTTTGGATGTTATTAACTGCTCCTTTGCAATTTGTACTTTTCTCTTGCACCAACTTCAAGTTGCGCTCAAAACTCTGTTGGGTCCTTAATGTACCATTGGTCCTAACCGTTGACTTTGAGAACTTATTTAGGTATAACAAAAATAATAACAAAAAGAAATTTTTAATGAGGAAGGTCCACATTGGATTCATGACTCTTCTTATTTATGACAACAAAATAACTACATTAATCCTCGGTTGGCCAGGCCATGAGGATGAACATTTTTTAATTGCTTGAATTCACCAAGGTGACATATTCTCGTTTGATGGAGAGCATAATTGGAAACACATCTTCATTATTGAGTAATTTAAGCAGTGGATACCTATATTGAACACTCTGGCAAGGAGCCAAAGAGGAGGAACCTAAAATGTTTATGTGTCGTGTACAGAAATCATAGTTTGTAAGTTAATGAATATAATGTGCTGCGCATTCCCTTTCGATATGGGAGATATAGCATCTAAGATTTGGCATGTTATTCATTGTTTGGACCTAACTACAGTGGTCTTTCTTCCTGGTTTCTATTACATGTATTCGATAGTATTGACTGATTCATAGGAAAAAGACTTCAGTCATTGAACTTCCTTCAATAAGGATGATCCTTTTATGATTATCATGAACCATAAATAGTTTCTTCTATGTCCTTTTCTACTTTACTATAATCTTTCTCAATAACAAATATTGTTTACTTGCAGCACAGATAAAATGAGCGAGGCAGCCATTCTCAGTGTTGTGAGAAAGAATTTTCCCGATCACCTTATTTTAGGAGAAGAAGGAGGCGTCATTGGAGATTCATCTTCTGATTATCTTTGGTGCATAGACCCCTTGGGTATGTGGTTTACTGGTCTTTTAGTTGGATCAAGATTACATTTATCTGAAACATCTATTTGGTTCTTTGAACTTGAACTGCATACATGATGCATGTATAAATGAATTTTATAATGTTGGATAACAGTTTTCCATAATTCTTCACACTACTTAGTCCTGTGTAATTCATTTGATCTAATCATATTAATTTCCGATAATCCGGCACTGATATATTTCATTATTAGGTAATTTTTTCAATGGAGAACCAAAAAAAAGTACAATTATGCTGCTATGTGTTTTGTGAATCAAACTAAGCACCAAATGGTAGTATGATTCATGGACGGATCTCTCCTTCCTTGTTGCTAAGTAAAATAGCATAGTTTTTTCACTTTTAGATTGGTCGTCTTTAAGAATTTGAGAATTTTTCTGGATAAGATGGATATAACAATCCACCCAATACATGAGGCTGGGTAACCCCTTGAAATATAACATAACAAGGAGAGTGGTTTAATATTAGCCCATATCAGGAGACACACCTATCATCTAATGCAGCCTTAGTGATAGAGTCCACAATAAGATCCTTCCATATATTATGGTGGATTTTATTTGATGATCAGTCGGGTAGGATTGTTTTATTTTTGTTATATAAATAATTGGGAATTTAGGTCACTTTAGTCAATTTGTATGGTTTATTATCGGTTAAGCATACTTTAGTCTCTTATAAAGTCTTGCTAGGGTTTTTCTTTTATCTATGTATATTGATGATGTAATTCCACATGTTGTTTATTAGATTAGTGATAAAACGATTTGAGAGTTGTTATGAAGCACTAGGAAAGTAGTTCATTTTATTGTTTGCCCAAATCAGCTTCCTTCTTTGTTTTGTTCTGCATGACATTGTGTTCATCAGTATATTGGCTGTATCTGTCTTTTTCTTACGTTTTTATTATACATTTTCAATGATTCTTAGGCCTTGTTTGTTTTTAAAAAAAGCTCTTATCAGCCTCTTATGTCTGAATCGGTAAGAGGTAGGGCCATTCAGACTGATTGTTTTTTCCAAATTTTCGGAGGCACTTATTTCGTACCGTTCTCTTATTTGTTAAGAGGTAAACCATCCCCTTATTTGCCTCTTATTGTTCTCTTGACTCTCAACAGCGGGGGTTTCTCAGTTACTCCTCTCTCAATTGATTAACCTTAAAACTGTATAAAAGTATATAAATTCAACATTATAATATTTTGAAGGGTAAAATAGACAATTATACAGATTCAGACATCTATCAGTTTACAAAAACGGTCTTATTGATTCCGCTTTTAGACTTCAGCCCTACCACTTATCAATCAGAAGTGAAATAAGACTTCAGCACCTCTTAAAAAACAAACAGCACCTAGTCAGCATATCCAGTATACTGTCTATTTGGACGTGCACTATCATCACTAGGTTTCTAGCTCTTACTTTCCATGTACAGCTCCCTTAAAAAGACTTGTATACGGTTCTGAATATATGCATGAGAAGGTTGCTGCCTGTAAATGAACTTGTTTTTCTATTGTATGTTTGTTCCTTATTGTTAGTCACATTAACCTCTGATGTGGGTATGCCCGTTTGATGTTTATCTAGATGGGACGACAAATTTTGCACATGGCTATCCCAGCTTTGCTGTGTCTGTGGGAGTGCTCTTCAGAGGAAAGCCAGCTGCTGCTGCTGTGGTATATGTCCTACCCTAATTCACTTCTTAATTTGATGGCTTTAATATATGATAACTTCAGTTTTATGGTCAAGCATGCAATACTGCAGATCTTTATTCTTTGGTGATCATGCTTATCAAATGGAAAGATAAAACACTGATAAAAAATCAAAGGGTGCTGCTTAATTATCTTTTTTTGGTCGATTTTGATCTCTCTTTGATCTAAAAGACCAAAGACTTAAATAAATATGGAATTCTTGAGGGTTATGAAGTCCTA